GGAGGTGGAAGTGAGTGCAATACAGTTTTTAAGGTAGTCACCAAAATATCCACAAACATCGTTAATCACCTCTAGCACAAATCTCGTGCTGAAGAAAATTTATAGGATTAAGAACACAAGAAAATACCCATTAGATTAGAGACGTAGTTGAAGAAGCAAGGCTACGAGCGAGGTGAGAGAGCCTACCTCCCACACTAGTTCGCTGGCTACCTCGTTCTACATGAGCCGAGCTTGTCCCCTAACCGGCAAACTTACTCTCTACAATCCTACTTATCTACCTATCTACCATTCGCCATCTTAGCATATCTACCCATCGAGTTTACTTCCACACCTACCGTAACCCCACTTCTCCACCTGACCTCCCCACTTACACCACTACCTCATTTCTTTCGTCTCAACAAACCATTTTCACTAAATATATGTCCACCAAATCCAGTTCTGTACCTCACTACTTCCAGTTCAACATCACCACCACTCTACATGTATTCACTTCTATGTCTCGCTTACTACTCAATACTCCAATCCTACACCACCTAATCTGACTCCAACTTTAGCTTCAATACATCCCCACTCTCCACATTTCCACATCTCTGCCTATCCACCCCACTTCCTACAAAGTTTCCTAGTTTCCTACTTCACCAAATCCACGGATGCCTCACTCCCTACGAAAATACCTCCCCAGATTACCCGTTACACATTCCACCACCATTCTGTTTCCCCACAATCCAACCTCAGTCCTTTGCTACATCCCTAGCTCCTTATCGCTCCTCAGCACTACATCACTACGTATCTACCTCAATTACCTTCGATTTGTCCAGTCCTTTCCCTCCCCACCTCTCTGCATACCCCGCCAACCAACTTGCCTACGATTTCGTCCTCTTCCAAAGTACAACGTCACTTCCATCCTACATTCGTAGCCATATGGTATACACCGCATCCGAAGATTTTTTCTCAGGTTGCTTATGCAAGCAACCGTGGAAAATAAAAGTATAGCTACAGCTGGGTGTCAGCATACAACTCGTAACCTCTATCTACCGCACCTACTCGCAAATTTCACAGCTGCCATAGTCGCAAAACCGCATTTCTCAACCCGACCAACCCATCTATTGGTACAATAATTGCCAGGTAAATCAAATACACTTCATATTATCGCGCAGATGGAACGAATGGAAGCATTGCGTTTTCGAAATAACACGATATCTGCAATAGAATTCACACACACTCTTATCTCCAATTAAAAGCAGGCAGCGTGCCAAGCAGACAATTTCATCAATTGTCGCTAGTGTCGGGTTCACCTCTCTCCTCTCCAGTAAATCCTCTTTGCAAACTCTAATAAGGCATGTTCACACAAGAGAACGACTACTGAGTATCATTCAGTAATGTCGGCATTCTACTGCAAAGCTGAATGATATACAATGCTCGCTCTACCACTGGCCGGGAGGCAATCAACTCGTAGTCGATTGATCTAGGTACAGCACTCCGTTAGAATTTGCACCTGATTCAATCATTGGAAACCTTTGAACAGCCAATGCCATCCATATCAACAACAGGCAGGACCTCATATGGAGTAGCAAATGTGCATTGCATAGAGACACAGAAACAGCACGCCGACCAATGCATTGTCTGTGAGGTGAATCTTCCACCAAGCGGGTACCTCCAACGGTGTTGGCTTATTCACTTGGGTTGTAGGTGGCACGAATTCATTTATGACAAGTTCCACGCAATAACGGTGGCAGTAAATGAGTGAGTCAGCAGGTTGTGAGGACAGGTAACATGCCGTGCCACATTTTGTCACCACTGTGAATTCAAAGGTAATTGAAATGATTTGAATTAAACCCATGAGATGAAATCAATGCGCCTGAGATTGTGCATAATTTGACGTTGATTGTCTATTATAATTTGGCTGTGGTGGTCCTTAGGAGCACAGTCTTACGTGACAATTGCCTTACAAGCACATTAAAGCAAACCATCAGCCGAGATGGAATGCTGGTCAGTAATAGTACTGGATGGTGGATTGTGTGGAGAAGACGATGCAGGATTTGCGGTTAAGTTGGGTTGGGCTCGAATGCTGTTGGTGAGACAGTGATGGTGTGTGGATTAAAGTATACATCGAATATGTACACGCGTGTGGGCATTTGATGGGGTTGCGTTATCAGATCTTTTGTTGAGGTGGTAGCTAATCCATCAAGATTGATCTCTCTAACACTGACCTTCACATCGTGGCTGACAGATGGCAGGCTATTGAAGGCTGCACTAC